AGCTGGCGAAGAGGTGCGGATGGGCGGCCTTTAATTCATTTTCTCTTTCCCAGGTGGCCTCTTCCTCTTAGTGGTGGCTCCACTGAACTTTGCAAAATCTGATTACTTTGTTTCTGGTCCTTCTCTCGCTGGTTTCCAGGATACGAATTGGCATCTCCACGTAGGTCAAATCTTCTTGGATGTCAATGTGCTCTGAGCTAGCTTGTTCCTCAGGTACCCTCAAACACTTCTTCAGTTGAGACACATGAAACACATCGTGGATACCAACCATATTAGGTGGAAGCTCTAGCTGGTAAGCGACTTCACCTCTGCGTTCCAAGATCCTGTATGGTCCCACAAAGCGTGGTGCCAACTTGCCTTTGGTTTGGAAGCGGTGTACTCCCCGAAGCGGAGTGACACGAAGGTACACATAATCCCCTGCTTCAAAAGTAAGCTCTCTTCGGCGGTTATCAGCATAACTCTTTTGCCGAGACTGGGCGATTCGCAGTCTTTCCCTGACGGTCCTGACTTTCTCCTCTGCTTCGGTTAACACTTCTGTTCCGAACAGTTGACGTTCGCCTGTCTGATCCCAGAAGAGAGGTGTGCGGCACTTCCGGCCGTATAAAGCTTCAAACGGTGCCATCTGTAGACTGGCCTGGTAGCTGTTGTTGTACGAGAATTCCGCATATGGCAAGCTTTTGTCCCAAGCTCCACCAAAATCAAGAGCGCAAGCTCTCAACATATCTTCCAAGATTTGATTTACTCGCTCGGTCTGACCATCTGTTTGCGGATGATAAGCCGTGCTGAAATTCAAACGAGTCCCCAATTCTTCTTGCAGTTTCTGCCAAAATTTTGAAGTGAACTGACTCCCTCGATCAGATACAATCTTTTTGGGTACCCCATGTAGACACATGATTCTCGAGAGGTAGAGCTCCGCCAACCTTTTGCCCGTATACGTGGTATGTACTGGTATGAAGTGAGCAACCTTAGTGAGTCGATCCACGACTACCCAGATTGAATCGTGACCCGATGATGTCCGGGGCAGTCCTGTTATAAAGTCCATTCCAATCTCCTCCCATTTCCATTCCGGGATTTGAAGAGGTTGGAGTAAACCTGCTGGTCTTTGGTGCTCTGCCTTCACCCGTTGGCAAACATCGCAGAGTGCGACGAATTCAGCTATTTCTCTCCTCATGCTGACCCACCAGAATTTCTCTTTGAGGTCCTGGTACATTTTAGTACTGCCGGGATGAATTGAATACTGAGTTTGATGAGCTTCTGTGAGTATGAGATCCTTCAGTTCTTTGTCGTCAGGCACACACAATCTTTCTCCCAACCAGATTGTGCCATGCTCATCCTCATGGAAATCTCGGGCTTTTCCGACCCTCATATTCTTTTTCAGCTCAGCTATTTCAGGATCATTTACTTGAGCTGCTCTGACTTGATCCACGAGCGTAGGCCGTGCCTCTAGGGCAGCTACGTACCCGTGTTCTACGATGCCCAAATTTAGGTGCTCAAGATCTTGCTGCAATTTGTCACACATGCCTTCGGTACATACTGCATTGCAATAGCTCTTTCTGCTCAGAGCATCTGCTACCACATTTGCTTTGCCTGGATGATAGTGTATCCCCATGTCATAATCTTTAATTAACTCTAGCCATCTTCGCTGTCGGAGATTCAAGTCAGGCTGAGTGAAGATGTACTTCAGACTCTTGTGATCAGTGTATACTTCACAGCGGTTGCCAATAAGATAGTGCCGCCAGATTTTCAGAGCATGAACCACTGCTGCTAACTCAAGGTCATGAGTGGGATAATTGGTCTCGTGTGGACGCAACTGTCGCGAAGCGTATGCGACCACTCTGCCTTCTTGCATCAACACACATCCCAACCCTTGGCGAGATGCATCACAGTAGACTTGGAAGTCTTTTGTCTGATCTGGCAAAATTAGAACTGGTGCAGAGACTAACCTCTTCTTGAGTTCTTCAAAACTTTGGTTGCACTCAGCTGACCACTTGAATTTTTCATCTTTCTTTAGCAACTGTGTCATGGGCCTGGCAATCTTGGAGAAATTTTCGATGAACCGACGGTAATAGCCCGCAAGTCCAAGAAAACTCCGGATCTAAGAAACTGTCTTTGGTGGGGTCCACTTTGTAACTGATTCCACATTTGATGGATCCACTGCCACGCCTTGAGCAGAAATGACGTGACCCAGAAATTTGACCTCCGATAACCAGAAGTCACACTTGCTAAACTTGGCATATAACTGGTGCTCCTTCAATTTCTCGAGTACCAGACGAAGATGATGCTCATGTTCCTCTTCTGATTTTGAATAAATAAGTATGTCGTCAATGAATACCACGACAAACTTGTCAAGAAACTCCATAAACACTTTGTTCATCAAGTTCATGAAGAAAGTCGGTGCATTGGTGAGTCCAAAGGACATAACCGTGCACTCAAACAACCCATACCGAGTGGTGAAGGCTGTCTTGGGAATATCCTCTTCCCGAATTCTCAACTGATGATAGCCTGATCGCAGGTCTATCTTGGAAAACACCTTAGCTCCTTTTAGCTGATCAAACAGGTCATCAATTCTGGGCAACGGATATTTGTTCTTGATTGTGACCTCATTAAGGGCGCGATAATCAACACACATCCTCTTGGTCTTGTCTTTCTTCTCCACAAAGATAACCGGAGCACCCCAAGGTGAAGTACTCGGTCGGATGTACCCTTTCTGCAGCTGTTCGTCAACCTGCTTCTTGACCTCTGCTAGCTCATTAGCTGCCATTCTGTACGGCCTCTTGTAAATTGGAGCAGTCCCGGGTGCCAGATCAATTCGGAACTCGATTTCTCTCTTCGGTGGCATTGTAGTGAGGTCTTTAGGAAATACCTCAGGATATTCTTGTACTATAGGAATATCCTCCAACTTCCTGGGACTTTTCTCCACTGTTTCTGTCTGACCCTCAATAGCAGCCTGATTCAGACTCGCTACGGACTTCTGCGACGCTGGGGAACGGAAGGTGATCTTCTCCCATTTGTCGTTGGTTAGGGTGAATTAGTTATGATTTTTAGAAGATTATATGTGTTTATTACTATAAAAGAAAAACCCTTAATCAATTTATTGCGCAATAATTCATCCCAGGGCTGACGTCAGCACAAGGAGGGGTGGCGCCGACACGCGGGACCCGCGGGTCAGAGGCACAGGAGAGAGGGAGAGGGGGCGGCTGGCAAGCGGGACCCACCGGGCAGCGTCACAAGGGGGGGGGGAAAGCGGCGAGGCGCCCGGTCGGTCCGGCTCGGCTTCAAACCGGCCGACCGGTTATGGCGAGGGCGGTGCCGCGCACGCACGGTCGCCGGCGACGGCAACCGGAGGCGCGGGAAGCGACGGCGGATGACGGCGGCGCAAAGGCGGCGGCACACAGCCGAAGCGGCGGCTCGGCCCGGCACGGCGCTAGGAGGGAGAGGAAGGGGAAAAGAGGGGGAGGGGCGCCTCACCGCGAGTTGGCCGGCGTGGGGGGGGAAAGACGACGGCGAACGGCGACGGCGAGCGACCGGGGAACGGCGACGATAGGCGGACGAGCTCCGAGACCTCCTAGGGAACAAGATGGGAGGTATTAGAGGGAGAGGGGTGGTTAACAGCGAGCGGATTCGCCGGTCGAAGGCGGCGGCCATGGGGTACTCACCGACGCGCGAGGAGAAGCAAGCTCCGGCGGCGGGATTGACCGGGGAAACGGCGGACGGGGTGGCGCACAAGCTGGCGAACCCGGCGGCGTCATCGGCGCGGTGCGGCGACGGCTCTAGCGGTGGCGGAGTGCGGCCGGAGCGTGGCGGCGAGCGGCGGAAGGCGGGATGAGAGGCGCGGGAGCGATGGAGAGCTCGGGAGGGCTCGGCCGAGAAAGGAAAAAGAGAGAGGAAGGTGCGGGCGTGCTTAAATAGGAGGGGGGCGGCGAGTCGTGGCCGGGAACGGCGCAATTTCGCCGGAGTAGTGGAGGAGGTGGAGGAGGAGAGAGAGAGTGGGGGAAATTTCAAATCCCCCGCCGTTTGCGGGCGCGCGAGCTGGCGGGAGGTGCGGGGAAAGTGGGCGGCGACGTGGGCGTGCGGTACGGGCGGAGTGGGCGCGGGAGCAGCGGGATACGCGGCGGCGTGGGCGGTGGTTTCGACGGCGGTTGGCGCGGGCGTGGGCGGCCGGAGGTTAGGGAAAGGGCTGACAGGTGGGCCCCACCTGTCAGCGCCCGAGAGGGAGAGGGAGGCCGGGTGAACTTCGGGAGTGGGAGGGAGGAGCGGGCCGGCGCGGGAGGAAATGGGCCGGCGGCCCAAGAAAAGGAAAAAGGAGGGAAAAGAAAAGATAAAAGGAAAAAGGATTTTCCCAGGGATTTAATATTGCACTTTGCTTATTTTAATTGGTTAAAATTATTTCCAATGCTCTGAAAATTCCACTAAAAATCCTGTTAGCATATTTTGACATGTAGAATCCAAGAAAAATTCCACATGCCGATTCCGATTATTATTTGCATTTATTAATTTAGGGTTTCTCTCTTGCCTCTAAAGAAATAATTTCTTCCAACCATTTATTAATTGAATTTTTGCTAGGGAAAAGAACTTCTGGGCGCGACAGACAGCCATGTTCCCACGTCGCGCCTGCTTCCGGCGGAAGTGGAGGTAGGTATGGGCGGTCCCGTCAGAAGGTCATTCGGACGGCAACCATACAAGTCTCCGTCTGTTTATGAATAAAATAGGATAAGTCCCCACAAAAAAGAGAGAGATGGTGCATGTGGTATCCCCTTGAGGTATAAAAGGAGGACCTTGCCCACTTAGAAAGGGGATTGAAGGGGGGAAAAACAATCCCAGAACGATCGGGGGCTGGCTCGCGCTTTGTAGCTTCTTCATACACAGATCCACCAAAACACAGGAGTAGGGTATTATGCTTCTCAGCGGCCCGAACCTGTATACATCGCCCGTGTCTTGTGTGATTTCACTCTCGCGAACTTTCCACAGACCAAGAGCTTAGAACCTCACCCAGGGCCCCCGGCCGAACCGGCAAAGGGGGGCCTGCGCGGTCTCCCGGTGAGGAGCCCCACGCTCCGTCAGCTACCCTTCTCTTCTTCTTGTAGCTGTCCCATCTCCTTTCTCCTTCTAGTGCCGCCTTGACACCATCCTCCCCCCAATCTTCCGCTCACCGTTCCAGGCGTCAACTCCCAGTGAGGACGGAAGCAGAATGACGTCTCCTGTCTCTAGCATCCATGAGACCATGATGGCATTGCTACGACAATTGCCGTTGTTGATTGCATCTTTTGATCCAGGAAGAAGTCAAAGAAAAATCCTTTGGACTTAGAACAGGTTTTGTTCATCTCTGCTTGATGCAATCTAGCACAATCCCAAATTCGAACGGTAAGGGCTCACTGTAATGAGAGAGAGGAGATAGGGGGAGAGAGACGAGAGGGAATGATAATGAAGAAGAAAAAGACGAAGCAAGCAACACCATTCCGACATTCTTCAATATTGGCACCCACCAAGACCGACGGTGTTGCACGACGTCGAAGCCAGTGTAGAACGTCATGAAGACATAGGCGTGCAACGCTATGCTGGGCTTGTGACTTGGCATTACCACCTCCCTCGTCTCTCCTCCTGCCTGCTCAGCCTCGCCGGCGCCTATATAGATGCCAAAGACCAGGGTCGATGTGTCATGTCATAGAAAACCACCATATATAAAAACCGGTTTAGGAGTCGTTTTGTACGGTTTAAACTGTTGGAGGCGTTGTTATACCTGATTTTGCGGTTGAGGGGTATGAATCAAATTCGACCTATATTTGAGGGAGTCTAGTTGAACTTTCCCCTTTCTATTTGGATCCGAATCCAACGCGCATAGCCCCAGTTGAGTTTTGAAGTAAACACGACGCCGAGTTTTATGCATGCGACGCGACTCGCCGCCGGTCACGAACTTACGATGGCGTCCACCGCCGCCGGCGACGACTTCCGGGATTGGTCCGGGCTGCCGGAGGACCTCCTGCTCACCGCCATGGAGGCGATGCAACTCCCCGACCTAGTCCACTCCGGCGCCGTCTGCAGATCGTGGCACTCGGCGTTCGCCACGTTCCGCCGCCTCGGCCTCCGGTCGCCGCCGCACCCGCCCTGCCTGCTGTACGCCGCCGCCGCCGCCGCCGACAATGCCGTCCGCCTCTACTCGCCGTCGTCCACCGGCGCCCACTTCCGCGTGCCCCTCCTCGACGAGGAGGCGGCCAGCGGCGTCGTCGGTTCGGCGCACGGGTGGCTGTTCACAAGCGACAGGGACGCCAACCCTTACCTCCTCAACCCGCTCACCGGCGCCCGCGCCGCGCTCCCGCCGGCCACGGCGCTCGGGCGCGTCAGGGGCAGGAGGTTCGTCTTCTCCCCCGGCGACGGCGGCCGCCGGGGCGTCGCGTACGACGTCGACTTCGGCCGGCGGCCGGGCGGCTCCCCCGACGTCAGGCAGGTCATGGCGCGGCGGGCGAGGCGGTGGATGTACCGCCGGGTGGCGATGTCGGCGAGCCCTTCCGCCGCCACCGGCTGCGTCGTCCTGCTCCTGCACATGCCGGAGCGGGAGCTGTCCTTCGCCAGGCCGGGCGACGAGCGCTGGACGCCGCTCGTCGACGGCGGCGTCTGGGCCAGCCACGGCACCTCCTTCCTCGACGCCGTCCACAACCCCGGCGACGGCCTATTCTACGTGCTGCAGGACTCCAGCCCCGGCGGCGACACCGTGGTGCACTCCCTCGACCTCACCGCGCCGCCGCCGCCGCCGTCCTCCCCGGTGGCCACGATGCTCATGTTCGCGACGCCGCCGCGTCCGTGCAACCACCACCTCAAGAAGACCATGTGCAGGTACCTCGCCATCACGCCGCAGCACCCGCAGCACGTCGCCGGCGGCCTCGAATTCCTCGTCGTGGAGCGGAGGTGGCGCAGGTCGGGGAGCGACGACGACGCGAGCACGACGGAGATGTACGTCGTCATGCTCAGGCCTCTCGACCTCTACTTCTACGAGCAGGTGAGCCTGCCCGGCGGCGTGGGGGGCGACCTCGCGCTGTTCGTCGGCCACGCCGGCGCCGCCTGCCTCCGCGTGGAGGACTACCCCATGTTTCGCGGCAACTGCGCCTACCTCACCGACGAAAGCGACGGCGACGGCGACCACGCGAACCCGCCGTCGTGGAAGCGGCTGGACCTTGCTCTGTGGGAGTTCGGCGGGAGCAACTACCGCGGGAGGTTGACGAAGCTGCGGGACATGTGGCCACTCCACCATCCATGGCAAGATAATTCCCCGCCTCCTATTTGGTTTACGCCATCGCTAGATTAGCGCATCTCCAATTCAAAGGTGTGTGATAAGCTATATATTGTTGTTATTTTTTAAAAAAAATAATACAATTGTAATGCAACTAATTACATTGTACTCATAACTTATATTATAGAGAAAATTCTCTACATACCCTTGAAAAGTTTCACAATTTCTTCTATACCCCTAAATTTTACTTCATCCTATACATACCTTTGAGTTTTCATTTGGATCTTCTCTCACCTATACGAACGCTATGATTTTTTCATTTCTTGCTCGTATAAATCTTGAAACAAATTTAACAATTCAACAATTATTAAAAGTTATATACAAGTTACAATATAATTACACTACTTAGATTGAGAATTCGAGAGAAACCAGGTGAGGAGAATTGGACAAACAAAATAGGAATGGAGCTAGTACTTAGATTGAGAATTCGAGAGAAACCAGGTGAGGAGAATTGGACAAGCAAAATAGGAATGGAGCTAGTACTTAGATTGAGAATTCGAGAGAAACCAGGTGAGGAGAATTGGACAAGCAAAATAGGAATGGAGCTAGCTGAAGTGTTCTTATAAAATAAACTTGAAAGATGGAGTTAGGTTTAGATTACTCTACAACTTTACTTCAGACCTACAACTTTACTTCAGACCTAGCTCTTACCTAGCTCTTGAAGCTAAACTTACAAGTTGGAAACTAAATATAAACTCCACTTCTTTTCTAGCCATTCCGCTCTATCGGATCTATGGTAGTCTCAGATTCTTTTCTAGCCATTTCGCTCTATCGGATCTATGGTAGTCTCAGATTTGGTATTCAGTAGAATTTCAGAACATACTCAACATAGCAATCCCCTACAACCATACAAGGCAAGCAGAATCTGAAGGCAAATTCTAGACTAATGATTCATGTATCTTTTAACTCCCAATTTAAACAGACAGCATTGGACATTTGGAAACCAACTGCTGCAAGCCTGCAACAGGTGAAGAAGGATATACTGGGCAAGGACCAAGGAGAATCAACTTATAACACAAAATAATTCACAAGTTGCATTGATGTTCTGCAACAGTCCTAGCCTGCCCATTGACATATAACTCCAATATACACAAGAAATAAAATTTTAACATGAACAAATTTTCAAGCAATATACAATGGAATGCTTAATGACAAGCTGAAAAAAAGGGGATGTCTACTCCGGAAATGACAAATCCACGGTACTTTGAGCGAATCAACTTTCCATGAAGCACACACCTCACTATTCACAAGACTGCAAGAAGGGATTAAATAACCAAATGTGCAATCGAATCAACCTTGGACTGGAACTTCATTCGAAGCAACCAAAGTGGTGGCCCGGTCTGGCCCTGTTGCATCCTCAACACCATGTTCAACAGTGAGCCCCTCTGGGCCAGAAGGTTCAGCAGGAGGGATTTCAACCGAGTTGTCTTGCAATTGCTCTACCTTGGCTCTTGGAGCTTTTGGTTTTGTGTTTGAGGTTTTCTGCTTTGTCACAAGGGGTTTTGTCTCGGTCTTTGCAGTGGCAGATGCTTGGGAAGGAATTTTTGTGACTGATCTTTGAGCAGGCTTTCTGGCAGTAGCATGAGGTTTGTTATTTTCTGTGCTTTCGGTCAATTTGGCCAAATTAGTTATGCTCCGAGGACTCTCACATGATACAGAACCATCAACAGAAGCAGCAGCAGCAGAATTGGTTGGCTTGTGCCGGCCAAGCTTTGGTGACCTAGCGCGTGTTGGTGGGATCTGCAAATAGTCACATGAGTTGATTTCATTATTTCTTTATAAATATGAATGGGAACAGGTTCTTAGTGCCATACAAAAGATAGCATATGTATAAGGAAACTGAACACCCAAAAAAAACATAAGAAACCACAGAGAAGTTGTTTATCATGTTCTGAACTATGAATAGTCTAGCTTACTGTAAAATGGCAAAGCTGGTTCTGCTAGCATACAGCTTGGATGGAGAAGACCAAGTATTTGTCAGTACTCCGATTAAATTACCTTACAAACTACAAATCTTGGTGATTACTCCGTCAAAACATATAGACATATTATGATGGATGATTTGAATACATTAGGCAGTTCAGGGATTCAAAACCATGAAAACTAAATACAGAAAGGTATAAACTGACAAGGTGGAACCTGCCATTGTATAGCCCTAGCACCAAGATTTGCAAGAAAAATGCTTGGCATACTCAATCATTACAGTACAAGCCTGAAATTTGTACAGCTACTTCAATCCTCAATACTATTATGAAGATCCAGTAGAACATAAGTAATATCATGCCAGAAGATCTAGCAAAGCATACAAAATTATGCACAGCTAGGCCTAGTTAAGTTTCCCCTCCATAGGTAGGCCTCTTTCTCTAGGAACTGGACCCAGCTCAGTTGGTGGGAGGTGTGCTTATAAACTCCCACCATCTACGTACAAGCCCTCTTGGACTTGAATTTGGTGCCTATTATCTTCTTCATTAAAAAATATGCTAGTTCCTCCTAGGTATTCCTGCTTTCTTTCATACTAGATCAAAATGATGACTTATCACATATATCTATCAGCACTCAACGGGACCAAAATTCAAACTTCAATGTAGGATCATTTTGTCAACCAATGATGATTTAGGATCAGATCTGCTAATTGTTAGTTGAGTACTCTTGTTAGTTTACACGTTTATATTGTGCTAAAATTGGAAACGAGCAAGAATGAAATTGACACCAAAAGATGCCAGTGAGCAGAAACATGAGGCAGCACTCCTAGAAGGGTTACAACTAAGGTGTTATCAAAACGCGACTTATCAAAAAGATAGCACAAACAGATAATAAGCATGTTTTTTTTTCTTAAGACGTCTTCGCCCCTAATACCTCCAAGCATGTTGCTAATAAACAAGTTCTGGTATTAATTCCTGGTATATTAAGCTACAGATTGACATCATGTAATGCTTATTTTAACATTCTAATAACAGAAACTAGAAACAAATGATTATTTTTCAATTTATATCATACAGTGAACAGAGTATTTGAAATGTCCATGCAAACTTGTCAAGGCATGTTTGGTGGTGAGGATATTGCAGTCTAGAACTCTAGAAGTCTTGAATAATGTGGATTTTTTTTTGCCAACAGATATCAGCAACTTTGCAAGATCAAGTTTATCTTAGTACCTTTTTCAACTCAACTTTAGGAGGTTGCTCCTTGTAAAAGCTTGGCATGGGTGTCGCTTTAAATGTCAGGCTCTTCCTAAGTAATTTGATCTCAGCCTCTTGGCTCTCCTGAGTAATAGATTAATTTTCAGATCCAAGTGGTACAAATATTCAAAAGTTTTATATTAATGATATCAAAAAGGTTCTCACTTTAGATTTTGCCTGCAAATTTGTTTGTTCAAGCTCCTTTGCATGGATCTTCTCTTCAAGTTTTTGGTAGAACTGAAAGTAAGACAGCACTAAACCTGGTCAGCATAAGGGGGGAAAAGAGAATGTAAATGAACATATGGATTAGCGCAATGCCTTTATGGGTATAATATACCTCCTTCCTCTTCTCAGCACGCTCCTGCAGCCTGAAACTAAAACCAGCAGCAGCAGCAGCATTCTTGCGTTGAGCAGCTGCTCGGGGAGTATTGGTACTCCTGCATGAATAAATGAGCATGTTTCATGTTAATAAAAACACAGGGCATAAAAAAAGAGCAGCTATCAAGAAAATAAAAATGCTTTACGATGTGGTGGAGTGCACATCATCCTCCATTTTCTCTGGCAGAGTCTGTTCCAAAGCATTTGTGGTGTTCTCGTTTGACCTGATATAAAAGATCAACCATTTCAGGCCAAGCAAACCCCAAACAGCACTATTATGAATTATCAGTGGCAGTACCATATAATTTTTTTCTGGCAAGCATCACAACTTGGATGCACATTAATTGCATGGTGCTAACTACTAAACAACAACTGAAATTGCAATCCAGAAGAAAGAAAAGGACGGCCAAAATTGTTGGTTGGTGACAGAATTGACACTCACTCTTGGGTTTCAGGAGAAGCATCATTTGGAGGCGCGTCCACCGATCCAGATTTAACAGGCTACGTCACAGAAATCTGTAATTAATTTTTACTGCATTGCAACTAAAAATTGACAAGATTGTTACTCGCGGAAGATCACTCAAACTCATGAGTTTTACCAAGGAGCGGCTTGCGGCAGGCGTCCGGGCTGAATTCACCTTCTTCTCCACGGCTCGCCCTGCGATTCCATCCAAATTCAGTAAACGCAAACATCAATCAACCATCACAATTCACAAAACCCGAGCGAAGAACAAGTCCCAACTAAACTAACCAGCCGCCTTCTCCGATCCATTGGGCACAGCGCCTTTCCCGTCCGTCGTCTTGGCCTGCTTTGGTGTCGCCGCCTTCTTGGCAGCCGCCCCTCTCGCCGGGAACGACGCGCTCTGCGACAGCGCGGGCTTCTTCCCCACCTTGCCGTTGGCCACCGCCGCCGCCACCTTCGCCTTCCTCGCCGCGGCCGCGCCCCCCGATCCGCCCTTCTGCGCAAACCAAGCAAGCAAACACCCAGAGAGTCAGCAACGAATACCACCGCACTCACCGTCACAGGAATCCCGCGATCCCCGTACCTTGGCCGTCGTCCCCTCCGCGGCCATCGCCACCACCACCACCGCCTGATCAGATCCACCCGCCGCCGCCGCCTCCCCCCCACTGGCGAGATCCCCCTCCGCCACCACCTCCGCTACCTCCACAGCCCCATTCACCCTCACCTCGTCCTCCCCCTCCATCCCTCCACTGACTCCCACCCCTATCAGATCCCAGCAAGATCGATCACGGCCAAGATTCAACTCACTCTACCACTACTGATCAGTGCGGGAGAGGGGAGGCGATCGGTGGATGGATGGATCGGCGTGGAGAGATCAGTGAGAAGATGGTGGTGGTGGGGAGGGGAGAAGGCAACCACCCAACAACCACCGCGCTGGGCTGGCTGGCAGCCGATGCGGCTGCGAGTAGTGTAGAGAGGGAGAGGGAGGTTGGGGGGGAGTGAGTTGGTGTAGGGAGGGGGAGGGAGACGGAGACGGAGACGGGACGTGCTAGCCGTTCGCGAGCTGGACGGTTTCTCTGCCGTTTTTTTTCCGCGGACGGTTTTGCCCCCTCTCCTCCACTCCTCGGAGTCCTCTCTTTTTCTCATTTCTCCCCCGTGTGCGCCCGTGCAAACCACCTCCGGAGGAGGAGGGGGCAGAGACCCCGTGTGTGGGGTGTGGCTTTTGTCCATTCTGTCAGTTGGTAATACACTTCGGTTGTTTTCTCTCCTCTCTCCCAACTTCCACCTCTCTTTTTCCACGTTTATACTTCCTGAACGATTAAACGGTAATTATTTTAAAAGAATTTATGTTTTAAAAAAATCATATTAATTCATTTTTAAGTTTTAGGCTAATACTCTTCGTTTTATATTATAAGTCATTTGATATTTTAGATGTTGCTTATTTTTTTATAAACTTGATCAAACTTATCGAAGTTTGATTAGAAAAAAAATGTCAAACTATTTACAATATGAAACGGTGGAAGTATTTAATTATTCATATGCTAACGGCTTGCTCCGTTTTATGTGCCGAGGGATTAGTTCCTAATCTACCATACCGAACACAACCTTCTACTCTCTGTGAAGATATGTTTAATGGTGGAGGTCTCATTGTTTGATTTATGCTTATGTTTAGATTCTATTCGGTACCGCTTTAGATCTCAGACCCACGGTAGATTTAAAGTTTGTATGTTAAATTGTAATTGTTTAAAGTACTAAATTTCATCTAAAACATGAACAAAAATAATTTATCTGAATTTTATCAACGTAATTATAGATCTAGACCTATGCATGGATTTGTGTAGTTCGGAATACCGCTTCGGAAAATTTTGGATCCGAAGTTGTGCCAAAGAAAACTTTATAAGCTAAATTTTAAGTTTTAACACTTAATTTTGGAGTTGATTTTATGATTTTTTTTAATCATTACTTATTTTTATAGTATTTGGTTTTAAATCGCTAACAGTACGGTAAATGTTTTACTCGTAATATTTTTTTAATTGAAAATAACCGGTTCTGATATACATATGCATAAGCGAAAATATAGGGCGAATGTTAATGATGCTACACAAATGTAGGTGGTGATTCGTTCGTTCGGAGTCAAATCATTTTGTGTGTTAGCTATGTTTATTCTTTGGACACACAGCTGTGTGGTTGTTCTTATCCGCTAGTAACACGGAAAAGGTGTTAGGAGAGCACTGTTGGTAAGGTTAGACTAATGATTACCTTTCCTCCACAAAATGCTGAAAATAAACATCATGTTCCTCTCCCTTTCACCTATACGAGTTTCATTTAAGGATTAAGAGTTTTTGCATGCATCAAATGGTATATTTGACACGCATATATATATATATATATATATATATATATATATATATATATGCCCGTACAACCATCTCCGGGGGTTGAGACCGTGCGAGTTGACAATGTGCCGACTGTTAATCAAATTACACTTCTCACACTCATATGTTCAACAATGTACATTGAGATATTGTTGTAGGTAGTGATCCATTTATTTAAAAAATTAATCACTGGTTGTGGTTATGCATACTCTTTTTCAAACACAATCGTGTTTATTCTTATCGTCTCATAAGAAGAGAGATGCTAGGGGCAATGTTGGGTATGATATGGCTAGCATCTATCGACACAAATTGCCAAAAGCTTCAATCATTTATGTTGCCCATAGGTTTCTGTGGGCTTAAAACATGTGTGATGTGATGGTTTCAACTGTTGGTAAGTTTAATTAATAAGTAACATAAATATAACATTCTGCACAAGATTTCTGTTTTTTTCCTTAAAGAATCTGTTATAAATAGCTTTCTATTGAATAACATATTAGCATATTATAAAAATCATTTGTGCTATACGTCGCCACTACAAATGATATAACAAAAAAGAAATTACATTACAATTTTTTACCTTAATATTATCTTATATTACTGCTAGATGGTTAGTTTTATCTACTACTATCTTATATTAATGTAGCATAATACTATTCTACTACTACGAATCTATATAAAAATATTAGTATTTTATTTTTTGAGACGAAGGAAGTAACCTATCATCAACCGACGACCATCCATCCACCCGGCACGTATAGATACAGCACCGCACCGCACCGCACAGCACGTCAGAGAGAATAAAGCGAGAATATTTGTCGCGTCAGCCAGCCAGTCAGGGGCAGTGCCGTCTCACCTGCACGAGCTGAGTCGACGACCAGTCCATGTCCACCACCACGAGAACCACACGCCGCGCGCGAGTGGGGAGCATCCGCGGCACGCACGCACGTAAACCGCGCGCCGTCGTCTCCGGTTCTTCGCTACCGCGTACGTGAAGCGGAGCGCGCGCCGCGCGGCTCGCACACCGGCCGGCTGCCAGTTTGTTCGGGCTGGAGTAGTTGAGCACCCCCGCGGCGCGCGTCTTAGCTTATTTTCCTTTGGAATTTTGTGGCTCGATCGAGAGCTTGCTAGCTGCTTGTTGCTTGTCCGGATCGATCGATCAAAAAGGACAGGGTGTGGAACAAACCGCACGCGTACGTGCATGTTCGGTTGTAGGGGTGAAAAAAATGTACGGAAATTTCCGACGGTATCAAACCTGTTTTGTGTAAAACTAATATTAAAATAATACTCCCTCCATCCAAAATGTTTGACGCTGTTAATTTTTTAAAATATGTTTGACCGTTCGTCTTATTTTAAAAAATTAAGTAATTATTAATTCTTTTCCTATCATTTGATTTATTGTTAAATATACTTTTATCTATACATATAGTTTTACATATTTCATAAAAGTTTTTGAATAAGACAAACGGTCAAATATGTTTAAAAAAATCAACGGTGTCCATTTAGGTAAGGAGGGAGTATCATTTTAGTTCATTTTCTCGGTCAGTTGGAGAAGATCGCCGGTCTAATCAGTTGTCAAGCATTCAAACGGCTTTTTTTTTAAAAAAAAAAACAAAGATCATCCAGCCGGGTTACTATATTGTTTTCCATAAGCACACCTATACCGAACTACTAAATGATACTTCATCCGTAAAATATAAACATTTATAGTAATGAATCTAGTTAACTACATATCCAGTTTTAACTAAAAGTTGTTATATTTTGGGATGGAGGTAGCACTTTTATTTTTTGCAAAAACATTCTATATAAAACTTTTTTTTAGCCCTTATAAAAATAAAACGAATTCTTAAACCTCTTTCACGCTCATGTCACGTGAGAGTTCATGCTCAGCGTGAAGAAAAGCTAATTTTTTGGGAATTTTAGACCAAACTTCTAATAAACTCTTTTAAAGTTCAAATAAACCCATTTTTCTAATTTATAATAGTTCATACTCAACTAATCATGTGTTAATAGATGATCTCATTTTGCATACTGCGAAAAAGCGTAGCCAATCCACTTTGTCCAACGGAGCCTTAGTTAAGTATATGTGCATACAACTCAATATGATATGAAATAAAAAATTTCACATAATTTTTCCGTTTCTTTTTTACTTTATACTGGATATTACTCATGTAAAAACTTTGATCGTTCATGTTCTTTTTTCAAAAATATAAATATTTCAAAGAATCATTGCATTATCAAAGTACTTTATATGCCAAATATAACTATATTTCGTTTATCAAAACTTTGTAATTTTTTTTTAAAAAATATTGGTCATTGATAAAATTACATTTGTCAACACGTCAAAAAAAAAGTAACTGAGGGAGGGAGTAATTAAATTTCAAGGATCAAGTTCTACAAATATTTAGAACTAAAATATATATTTTTTAGGAAAAAAAAAGCCTCGACGAGGCTTCTGTGCCTGCAAATTAAAGGTTCACCGTTCCTGGACGGTCGAGTTAATTAATTTCGCTGTTTTTCATGTTAATGAATCGAGTTGATTAATACACAAAGTACAAAAGGCAAAATCGTCAGGTACAGATCAAAAGATCAGGAGGACGGATTTTCTCGTTTTGGCGGTGAAAATCAAGTTTACTGCTCTTCCTTTTGACTCTCAAGTCTCAACACGATCTCTTTTGAGAGCACGCTTAAGAAAGCAACACTGGGGTGGGTCTCTGCCGTTAATTCAACGGACGGTGTATAGAGGCTGTCTGGGGAGGTTCCTGCAGCTGCAGCTTCTTCTATAATTAGAAGCTCCGTCAAACAGTCTAGCTTTTAGTCTAAATTCTGAGAAGCTGTAGTTATAGAATAAAAAAATTAACTAGAAGTCAGTTTTTTCAGATTTTCAGAATTTGGCTACCAACCAGCTGCTTATTAGAATGTTAACCGTCCAAACAGGCCAAAGTGTTCTTCACCCGTGCGGTGCACCCGTGCAACAAACCACCTCCAGAGGCTGCAGAACTTGTGGGGGTACGTGTGTCACTGTGTCAGTTGGTAATAACTTTGTACTTTCGCAAGCTGCAAGCATATCTGAATATGTTGGATGGTGTACGGTGAGACTATTAATTGTACTTGTTAGTGGTGATTCGTTTTTTTGAAGTCAAATGATCGACTTGTGCTTTTGAAACACACATCTATCGGCGTTCTTCAGCTAGCTAATACGAAAAGATGATATGGACGACGAAGGGTATGGTATTGTACTATGGTTAGATGGTTTAGCATCGACAACTAGATCATGATCGATCATGGATCAATAATTTTCTTTCAGTAGACGTTTGATGTCGCAATTCTGGTATTTGTATAGTATGGGGATCGTCGGTGCTAGAATACACGCGAGACTGAGGTAAAAGAGATGGAGACGAGGATTTTTATACAGGTTCGGGCCCCTGAATTGTTAGGTAATAACCCTACATCCTGTTGGCCGGAGCCGGTATTGCTCTTATTCACCATAATCACACCAGTACAATATGTGGGGTAGCCTATCTAACTGTTGTCGACATGGCGGTCTGAAGGTCTGACTCGTAGTCGACAACAGGGTAGCCTTCCTCCTCGAGCTCGCGCCCGTCGAAATCAGCGATAGCGCTAGATTCCTACGGCCGACTTCTGTAGGTACCGGATAGGG